GGAAAAAAAAAAAAGTACACATAAATACCTACATATTCGTGTAGAAATATATATAAATCGGAATATATGTATATAGAAGTATATATAAGGGCATGGTGAGAAATAAAAACATTTTGGCATAAAATAAACAGTAAACAGTTTTTAATAATATTTTTATAATTATCTGAAATATATTTTCAAAGAATGACATTTATATTATAAATAAAATTAAGATGTAAATATTCAAATTATATTTTTAATTTTTCTTTATATAATATAAGGTTAGAAAAAATTTTGAAATTTATGTAGAAATGCTTCTATATATTATATATATACTTTTTGAATTTTTTACAACACTTTCTTCCTGTGTATTATTTAATATATAGTATATATATCCACAAAACTGACCAGGAAAAAAAAAGAGGAAGCGAAACTGAAACTGCCACCGATGCAAAAAATAAAAAAAAAAAAACTGAAACTGCAAACAAAAATAAAAGGCTCCTAGAGCAGAGGAAGTAACAACCGCAAGGCTGTTTGCTGGCTTAAAAGGGGAGAGCCAGAGGGGCAGCTGAGGTGGCAGAAGGGGGCGGTCTGTGGTGTGCGGCGGGCGTGGTCGAGGGCCAAGGGCGTATAGCTGGGAAACCAACGATTTACCCCCAGAGGAATAAGAGTACTATATTACGTGACCAGCCGGCAAAATGACAACCGTAAATCTGCGGTATATTTCATGTGGTTGAACAGGCCAAAAAGGGACGATTTGCTGGAGATATATATATAATATATAGTAAGGGATATACCAACCAGATTTAGCTAGGAAAAATAGTATTTTAGCCAGGCTTTATGGTTTTTTATTTTCAAAATTAAAAAATAAGGGCTAAAATATATATTTCCTATAAATTTATTACTTAAATAATTAGTTATATATATATATTATATATTTAACTACAAAAAATCTCTCCCTAAGAGAACACCCAGTAAAAGACTTGACTTTTTGCTCAAAAGAAGTCATTTACTTGGCCTAAGCCTGAACTTTGCCAACTTTAACTTTAAACAGCACAAAAAAAAACCTAAGAACCAACAACAGTTGCTTATCTTTGCGAAAAAAAAAGATAAAAGCCGAAGATGTAAACTCCTTAAGACTCATGGCCATATGCGATTGACCCTTTTCTTGGCCGAGACGAAAAACGAAAAGTAGGCGTAAGAAGGCAACAAAATGCGGCAACAACCAGGACCAAAAACGGCTTGGCCATAAAGCAAAAGGAATAAAATGGGAAATTAGGAAGCAAAAAGGAGGCAAGAACGTGTGCTTTTTGTGTGGGTTCATAAAAATTTCTTTCCCTTTTTGTTCTGTTATGTTTTCGGTTTTGGGGGCCGTCATAAAAATAACGACAGAATCCCTCAAAAACAACAGGCAAAAGTCTGAGTTAAGGTCGTTTAAGGGTCATTACGCACACACATACAAATAAGGACTCGGCATGTGTAATAAGTGTTTATGTTTCGAGAGCTGTAAGTCATCTGAAGTGTTGATGATAACTCACCAAGTTTAAGGCTTAAAGGCAACGATGCCGGTGGAGTCCAAAAAGTTGGCTAATTTTTATGAACACTCAACAATTGGAGGTAGCATTTTACCTTTGTACTTTTTAATATTTATTGGAATTAAAAATGTTGATCAATTTACAATTTCAACAATTAGTTTTTATAGTATATATATAAAATTTTTTATTTTAAATTCAATTAAATTCCTTTAATTAATATGTTTTCTTAAAGTCAAAGAATTAAGTTCTTTTTCTTCTCTTTAATTTGTTTTACAATTCACCAACAACTTCAACAATTAGTTTTTATCAATGTCAGTTACTTTATGAAACCAATTCTTTAGCCTTTCAAATTTTATTTCTTTCTTATTTTTTTCGTTTTATCTCAAAAGTTTTTATCCATTGCACTTTGTTGTGTTCTCCGCTGCTTCCTTGTCTCTCTTTTTATTTATTTCTTTTTGATTTATTACCTCAGTTACGCGCTGCCCTGCCGTCCATTGTTGTTGTTTATCACACAGCAAACAGTTTAATTTATATGACAAGCCATAAATTGACGCGTCGGGAGCGGTGACAAATAATAATAAAAAAAAAAAACACACAAAAAAAAAATGGCAAAAGGCACAAATGATTTTTCTTTTTGCTATTTTCTACAATGTTTCTACAAAGCTATTTTTCATCATAATTTTTAAGGTTTCTTATCTCTCTCGTTTGCTTTCTGTCTCTTTTTCTCTCTTTCCCTCTCTCACTCACTCTCTCTTTATGTCTCTGTTCCTGGCTGCCGTCGGCGGGCCCCTGCGTCGTATACTTGATATTTCTCGATTTTCGTTCGATTTGTTTTGCACTTTTTCACCAATATTACAACGCGAAAGCAACAATAGTTGGAATTTTCAAGCATATTTTGCTTATTTTTTAAATTTATGGTTTATTTTTCCTTTGTAATATTTTTTTTAAGGACCAAGTGAAAAATCCGTTGCACGTAATTAACGCAATTAAAATCAAAACATTAATGACCTGCGCTCCTTTTGGACCTACGTCGCCGTCGACAGCGACGCTGGCTGCGCTGCCCCGACTGCCGTCGCAGGCGGAAAGCAGCAGACGGGCAGAGTTTTCTCTTGGAGTTTTCCAAACATTTTCGTTACTTGCCATTATTTTTTCAGATTTTTTTTTTCGAGAGTTGAGACAATAATAATAATTTTTAGTGAATATAAATAATAATTATTATTGAGTTATTGGTGTGTGCTAAGGGATCTAAATATATCTGTAAATATGTGCATGTGTGTGCGTGTACTTCGTTGCCTACTTTTTTGGGGCCAGCAGCCATTTTGTTCTGCCTGCGTCGACGTCGACGGCAGCATGACGCTTTGCTATTTCCATCTCTCTCTGGCTCTCGTGAAAAGTGTGCGCAACTGCAAGAAGCCAGAGAACGAGCGGCGGCGGTTCTCTCTAATTCGCCGCCGCTCTCTCTCTCTCTCTGTCTTTTGCCATTACTCCTCCTTTCTCTCTTTCTCTCTGGCTTTCGCTTGGGGCGGTTGGTGGGGTGCAAAAAAAATGGCAGCGTTGAAATATTTAACGCCGCTAAGTATGCTACGAAAATATTTTTGTGAAAAAAAGAATGTTTCTGTTTTTTCTGGAAAAAAAATAAAGGAATATATTTTTATGGCACAAAAAAAATGAAGGAAAAATATAAATGAAGGAAAAGAGAAGAAAACAGGCACACACACACACTCAAGTTGAGGCATTATTCGAGGCGATAAAGGCGTTGCTGCGTGTGACAGCCAAAGCAGTAATGTGTGTGTGTGCGTGTTTGTGCGTGTGTGTACGTGTGAAAAGGAAATAAAAAAGCAGAAAACAAAAGCAAGAAGTAAGCCAAATAAAACTTGGCAAATGTAAACAATAAAATAAGTTGAAAACTTTAACTTTTATGGGAAATCGGGAATCAAAATTAACAAAATTATAAAATAAATTAAATTTTTACTTATATTCTGATAAATTCAAATTTTAATTTAATTTCTAAATTATTACATTATAAATTGGCTGTTTCCCTTGAAGTTTCCCTTACACCTTATATTGTCTTTATTTTGATTCTCTTAAGTTATATTTTATACATTTAATTGGTATTACTTTAACGTTTTTACTAAATTCAATTTAATTTATTGTCTTTTGTAATTTTTAAATGTTATTTCCTTTAATTTAAAGCCTTAATTGCCATTTGTTGGCCGTTGAAAACTTGGCAAATGTCAAATAATTATCCAGACTGAACTTTAAAGCTTAAACTGCTCTCTCACACACTTTCAAACACACACACGCTGCACATCCTTTAAAACTTTGCCCGTCGAGTGAAAAGGGTAAACAAAAGGATACTCTGGATGGGGTGAAAATACAGAAAAAAAAATATATACATATATATAGCGAAGAGGGAGAACATTTTGCAGCTGCTTTTGGCTTTAATGCGTTTTGCCGGCTGCCTCTTTTTGGCCTTCTTTTTTTTTGTATTGGGGAAGGAATGTACAATTTATACACATAAAAAGGCTTTAATTCAGATGGAAGAAATTTTTTAAATGAGCTAGGAAATGTATTTTCACTTGAAACCTCTTTTAAAACCTTCTTCAGTTTGATTTTGTTAAAATTTAGTACCTAAATAACGCAATTCCTTAATAAACCAAGCCTACATTACACCCTCTGCACATCCTCAACATATATACATATGTATATATATGTTTGTATGTACTTGTGTCCTATTATCTTATGCATGAGCCTCTGTTTTATTTATACGATTTGTGTAAATATTTGCCAAGCATTTAGCCGCGCGACTTTTGCATGGCTTTCTTGCCGTCAGTTTTCCCTGACAAATTTCTACTCTACAAAATATTTTCCAGGATTACAAAAGACAACACAGCAAGGAAGTAAACAAAAAAAATATATATAGGGGGAAAAAAATGAAATTTTGGCGCAGGAAAAATCAACAATCAACAGCAGTAGGAAAAACATCCAGAGTTTGGCTGGAAAACAATGGAGGCATTTTCTTTTATTCCCACGGTAATTTGAATGGCAAATATTTCGATGGCAAACGATAAACAATTAGTGCAAACAAATAGACAAACTGCGTCACAAATTAAAATATATATATATATATTTTTCGTTGCACAAATTGCGCCTAAATATACCCAAAAGCGTACCACGTGTCGTATGCGTAATTTTGTATTTATTGCTGATGGAATTGCAGATACGTGAGGGGGTAACAAAGGGGGTAAAAGGGGGCTTCAAAGGGTTTGCATTTCAGAGGGACAAAACTCTCATTAGCAAAGATGAGCCCCAATTGGGATAGGAGGTAAAATTTATGAGGTCCTGATTTTAGATTTCAATTGGAATAGCTACGAGATTAGCAGGGAAAATAGAGTATAAATTTGAGAGGACGTGAATATTAGGAAAATTGGGAATTTAAAAACGTATATTTTTAAATATTTAATTTAGTATTTGACTTGGACTTACCGCTCAGCGAATTTTGGCCGCAGGATGGCGCCTTGCCCAACAGATAGTCGTCCTTGCAGATGAACTTATTGTCGTCCAGCACATAAAGCTGCTCACCTGTGCTCAGCTGCTTGCGGCATATGCAGCAGGTGAAGCAATTTAGATGGAATACCTTGTCCCTGGGCTTTCGCACTAGATCCGACGGCGCAATACCCTGGCCACAGCCACTGCACTTGGTGCCATAACGTCTGGTTTCAAGAAAATAATGAAAATATATATAATATTTTATAACAATAAATGAATTAACATTAAAGTAAAATATAAGTTAATATTTTAACCCTATCTAAGCTAGTCACTAGTTCTTGATATCTACTCGTGCCTCACATTTTCTTTTGAATTTATCCTGAGAGAACCTTTCAATAGCAAAAGTCAGGAATTAATTTCCCTTGCCTTTTTCTAAGCTTTCCTCGTTTATGGATGGCTTTTGTCTGTCGCTGTCACTTGTTAACCTTTTCCCCAACTGGCCCTGATTGATAGGACACCTTTCCAGTTAGTCCATCCTTCTATTCTGTCGCCTTTCATTGAATCAAGGAGCGCTGGGCCAGGATTTGATTTCATTTTGATTTGCTCAGGTATTTTGCATGTTAATTGCTTTCCCGATTTTTATTTTTCCATCAATTCTTTTTTGTTTTCTTCTTTTTTTTTGTTTTTTCAATTAGCTGAATAACCCCAATGACGTTGTGAAATCAAATGGAACAAGCCAAAGGAGTCAAAGCTGCGAATGGCGACTTGGCTTAATTGATTTGATTTTGATTTGTGGGGAATACATTTAATTGTTTAAAAATAAAAAAAAAAAAAAGGATTAAACTATATAGCTTTTATTTAATATTTTTAAATATTTTTTTTCAATATTTTTTCTATATTATTATATTTTTTTTTATAATTTTCTATATTTCTCAATGTTTTCTCAAAATTGTTCAATATTTTTTTCTATATTTCTTCTATATTTTTCAATACTTCTCAATATTTTTCTATATATTTTTTTTTTTATATTTTCCCATATTTTTCAATAGTTTTCTCGATTTTCTTATATGCTCTTCAATATTTTCCAATATTTTCTCAATATTTTTATATTTTTCTTTTATATTTTTCAACACTTCTCAATATTTTTTTATTTTTTTCTATAACTTTCTATATTTTTCTATAACTTTCTATATTTTTCAATATTTTTTTCTAAATTGTTCAATATTTTTCTATATTTTTCAATATTTTAAGGGCTTACCTGAAGAAATCGTTGCGACAGTAGAGCTTCGATTCGCGGCTAAAGCATTTGTCGGTTAGCGGTTGAAGGCATTCACAGCAGCGTACGCAGGAGGCATGCCAGGCGCGTTCCAGGACATTCAGCAGGAACTTGTCCAGGATGGGCTTATTGCAACCGGCACAGGGATCGCCCACGCCAACAGGCGGTTCACTGCGACCTGCAAAAAATAAAGCGAAAATTAAGAAGACATTAGGAAAAATAATTAAATTATTATAATAATTTAATAAAGTAATAATATAACTTTTTTAACCACTTAAACCTCCTTTTGATTGAGTTGGAAAAGCTGAGGTCACTGGGAAAACCAGCGGGGGAAAACGGGAAAGCTGCGAGAGCACTCAACTGTGCGTCCGAAAATCCTTCGAGGCGCAAATTAGCACCTCGCTATGGCTGCCTCATTAAGTTTGCATATGTGTGTGGGTGGGGGTTTCCCCTTTCTCACCCCTTCTCCTTTCCCCCTTTCCTGTGCCTTCTCCCCTCCGTAACTTTATACACCTGGAAAATGAGCAATTCCCAGGTGCGTGGCCTTGGACGGGTGCAAACATTTGAGGATTTACAATTTGCACTTTGCATTTTGCACTTAGACAAATTTGTTAATTGCCTGGGAGGATGGCTAATACTAAGTCAAAACCTAAATAAACCAGGTTTAAAATTTATTTCTTTAAAGTTTGTTTTCCTAGTTTAACCCTATAAAGCCGAGTTATGTTTCAAAATACCTCAAAAAACTTAAAATTAAATAAAAACCTTACTTAAAAGCAAATAATATTAATTTAAAGCTATAGATTCTTAAGGTTCTATTAACAAATACGAATAATATACTAAAGTACAAACTTTTTTAACGATTTTTTAATTTAAAAATATATATTTTTTTATTTAACATTTAAATATTAAGTATTTGTAATACATTTCAAGCTCAACCCTTTATTTGCGGTGCAGGAATCAATGTTTTAAGATCTTCCACCTTGTTAGTTCTCCCAGAAAAGGCGTTGCCGGAGGCGTGGCACACATAGATATATATATATATCAACATATATGTATATAAAATACATACAGGTTTTTTTTTTCGGGGCGAGTTCCACCTCTGCTGTGTGTGAATAAGCAAAATCGAGAGAAGTGCAACCGAATAATGATAGAGGCCAAGCCAAAATGGAGCCCTGAGGCCTGAGAAACTTGAGTCGAGGTTAAAAAAAAAGGGAAAAAACAAAGAAGGATTCCTGCTCCCAAAGAGAGATAAAGGAGGTGGGAAGCTGTTGGCTAAGGAGCAGAACCAACTGCCTCCTTTCGAAGTCAATCAGTCAATGGAGCTGCAAAGGCCAGGAACTCGCTTCCTTTTCTCTCTTTTTCCTTTTTTATTTTTAATTCCTAAAAGAAGAACAAACTTTTGTGTTCGTTTGTTCAACATTTGCAGGTGGGGCCTCCTTTGCGGGCGTGACCAGGTACAAAATATATATATATAAACACAAGAGTCTGCAAAATATAAAAGAAACTCAAAACAGGAGAAAGGAGAGTCAAAAAAATAAAAATAAAAATAAGCAAACTTGTGTGTGAAAATTTATTTTCATTCAAAAAGTTTTTAAACATTCGAGAACGGTGGGGGAGCCGAGGAAGAGGTGAGAAAAATGAGGAAGAGGCGGAACAGCAAGAGGAGCAGAATTCAGAAAGGAAGAAGAGCAAAAACAAGGGGAAGGAGGAAGGAGCTGGAAGGAAGGATGGCAATGAATGGGAAAAGGAAGTGGGAGGAATAAGATGACGAATACAAGATAAGAAAAAAAATATATAAAAAATTAAAGGTACATTTGTTTCGTATTCAAAATATATATTAACAATTTTAAAATATATATAAATATTTTAAAAACATATATATTAATATTAATATATATTAAAAAAAATATATTCACATATATATTAATATTATCTGAAAATTACAAACATCCTGAAATATAGTTTTAAAAATCTATATAAAATCTATATAAATCTTCAAAAAAAATAAATAAAATTAAAAAGATTTAGTTTCAAAAATTCTACAAATTCCCGTCTCAATATTAAATATAAATTTTAAAAAATATATATACAAGTAATGATCAAAAATACTTAAAGAACATTTATAAAGCCCGAATATTAACGACTAAAAACAAAACCCATCCCAGAAGACAAATTACTGGGGACTGCCAAAGGAGATGACGAACGGAATTCCGACGATTCAGCTAAAATATATATCATAACTCCCCCTCCACATTGCTTCCAACTCCCACAATGACATGACCCACATTAATAAAGCTTAGGGAGCAGTTTCCCCTGCTCTTCAACATTTTTTTTCTCCTCCATATTATTATTATTATTAATATTGTTTTTTTTTGCGTTACTCATACGCCCCGTGAAACCTTACAGTAGCCACTGCCTCGAGCCTCTCAAACTGATAAAACCCAAAACGGGAATGAATGAATGAAGGCTCAGAGGAGACCCCAAGGAAGGCGGTGCGGGGCACGACAGCAAATGCTTGGCCATTATAAATGAGCAACTGACACACTGATTGATTGACGAATTGACTCATTTTCGCTGCAGCAAAATACAAAATAAAGAACAGGAAAGAAGGAGCCCCAAAGAACAGCCAAGAATTATAACGAACATCCTACCTACCAGCAACAGCAACAACACCAACACCAACATCGACATCATCGCAAGTGGCAAGTTGCAAGTCCAGACCTTGCCGCATATGTCAAAATTGACGGATGTTATCAATCATTTCATGCCGCTGCAGACAATTTTTAATGAAGGTTATAGACGTTTATAGACGGAACGAAATGGCGGGATGCGGATGTATTTTGCGGGGGGGAATGGGGGAAATGGGAATGAGGATGGCGGAGGAGATGCTGCTGCTGCCTGAGGTGCGACGGAGCAGTCCGGGGACCCCGGAGCGAGGCTCAATGAACTATACGAAAAGCGTTGAAAACTTGGGTTAAATGTGGTTCGTGTTGCTGTCTCGTGCATGTTGGTGTAATTTCTGTAGACTTTCTGGTGCTTTGTTGTAATTACGGTTATTTTGTTGGTGTCGCATTTAATGGTATCTGTATCTGTTGGCTTGGTGTTATTATTAATTGTTTTTATGGTGGTAATTCTGGTTGGCAAATATTTAAGTTTCTATTACAGCTTTTAAGCGTTGGTGTAATTTCTGTAGTCTTTCCTAGTGCTTTGTTGTAATTACGATTGTTTTGCTGGTATCTGTTGTGTTGGTGTTGTTATTAATTGTTTTTTTAGGTGGCAAATATTTAGTTTTAAGCTCTTTAGAGTACTTTTTATTCGTCTTTTTTTGTTAACATATAAACTACCCGAAACCTATCAGCCATTTCTGTCTGGTCGCTTCTTCTCACTGTTTCTTTTTCTTGTATTTTTTAATTTTTATTTTATACATTTCTTTTTCGCCCTCTGTCAGTTGTGTCCGGCACCTTGGCGGCTCTGGACTTTATTATTCGTGCCTTCTGGCGCGTTTTTAAAAAGCGACAAATTGTTGTTTGCAGACGCCGACAACGTTGTTGTTGATGTTGGTGTCTGTGGTGTTGTTTTTGTTGGTGTTGGTGTTGGTGTTGTTGTTGTTATCGTTGTTGCTGCTGCTTAAGTGTCGCAATTTAAATATTGTTGAGTGCACTTTTGGCTACCGTTGGCCATTTATTTTCCGCTGAAATTTATGTAACGATGTGAAAAATTGCCCGCTACTGGAACGAAGCGAAATATCTCAAGCTCTAGGCGCTCCTCATTGCCATTTATTTTTTCTTACTTCTTTCTCTACGTTTCAGTTTTTATCTTAACCTTTTCTCTAGGCAGAGAAAAAATATGGAGTTTAAAAAATAAAGATTTTTACGGAAAGTATAAAAAATAAAATATATAAAAGAAGGTATACGATAGAAAAGGAGGAGTGTAGTGTGGAAAAGTAATCTGATTTTGGTTACTTATGTAATCAGCTTCTCTTATAAAATTCGACATAAAATAAATAAATAATTTACACTTTTGATTTTAATTTTAAATATTTAAACTATTAAAACATTAATTATAAACTCTTTCTTTCTCTGTAGATCTGTGTGGCAGGCATTGACCGCATCGCAGAACTGAAAGAAAAGTGCAAAGTGGCAGCCGAGACACGTACAAAGCATTTTGCACAACATTTTCCGCGCTCACATATACACACACACCCATATATATATATAGAAGGCTATATAATTGTGTTCCAGCTTCTCCGCAATCCACGGACTAACTGCATTTATAATGCAAGCAACATCAGCAGCAGCAGCAGCAACAGCAGCAGCTTCTTCATGGCTCGCTGGGTTGTTCCCGGCAACACCCAAAAGACCGGCCCCAAAAAAAGAAAGAAAATAAAAAATATACAACAAAAAAAAAATACAAAAAATAATAATAAAGAAAAAATATAAGGATGAGTCTGGAAAAAAATAACAAATGAACTGAACTCTGTTCCACAGCTGCCGTGGCTGCTGCTGCGGCTTGACCAGCATCAGGCCACAGAAAGTACAGTAAAGCTTGGCTATTAAACTAAATAAATAAAATTAATTTTTATATATTTCATATACAATTTTATAAATATTTTTTATATCTTACATTTTAATTTAGAACCTTGGAAATTTAAAATAATTAAATATTCGAAAAAAATTAATAATAAATCAATTTTATAAAATCTACTTTTCAATTTTACTTAATTTTAAAGCAACATAAATATATATATTCCCTTAAAAAAACCCAAATCTCCATTTTCCACTCAACTGTGAACCCCACTGTGCACAATGGCCACAGAGGCAACCACAACAACGGGCAGAAATAGTAACCAAACTTTTGACCATTGTCGTCTGCGCGCCACAAACTGTGAAAAATTCGTTCGACATCAGCAGAGCTCAGGGTAAAAAATAAAAAAAAAGAACAAAAATGCAGCAACAACAACATAAAATGGGAAATAATAAAAATCAGCTTCAACTTTTTTGCCAAAGCACTTGCTGCGCCATGTTGGTTACGCCCCCTTGGCCCTCCTGCACCGCCCACCGCCCCTTGGCCGAGCTGAAAACGTGACTAAAATGTTAAAGCCACAAGAAAGAAAAGAAAATCCAAACCAGCAGCAGCAGCAGGAACCGTCGCTCAATCGCAATCATTTCTTTCTTCTTT